GGGAGCGGGGCCGAGCCGCGGGGGCCTTCTAGGTTGCCCCCCCCGCCCCCCGCGGTGAGGGGGCTCCTCGCCGGGCTTGTCGGGAAGCAGCGCCGGCTTTTCCCCCCTTGGGCCTCTCCCGGGAGGCGCCGGGGGTGGGCTGGGGCGGAGGGACAGGTTCCTCCGATCGCGTCCCGCCCTCTGAAGGTGAATTTGGGGATTTGAGAAGTTGCTTCAGACCAGGTGAAAGAAGGTTTCTAAAGAATTTGCAGCGTGTTCTCATTTTCAGCTCCTGTACAAGATGTGAGCGTTGAGCCCCGATACCTTGTTAGCTGTTTGATAAGGGTAACGAAGACCTAGAAATAAAATTGCCCTCAATCATAAACAACAGGATTAATTCACAGTTACGTTCACACAAACGTCCAAATCCGAAATAAACAAGGTAATGCAGAAGAATCCTCTTGCTGCAGCCGGACAGCGACTTAGACGCGTGAAGGCAGTGGCAGTCTACCTAAAAGCTTTTGTCTGGTTTCAGTGCAAAGAAAGAGGCACGAACCCACGTAGACAAACCATATTCCTTTTCCATAGAAGAGACTTCGGCATACGAGTATGTTTTAAACGGAGAGCTGCATTCTCTTCCATATAGAGCAGAGACCTTATTTCATGCCCAGTCCTTTATGCGTATTTGTATGTACGTGCATACATACAGTATGAATGACTGACCATATGGGAAGTCAAAAGATAGTCTTTATCTGCCTAGAGTTAACAACTACTACATGAATACGTACTCCGTTTCAGCTTAGGTAGTTGAACTCATTTATCTTTTGTATGTAACTGAAGTATTTAGAATGCCCCAAAACTTTAGGAGTTCAAACAAAATTTTCTCCTTTTGTGATAAATTTCTGCCTCACTGAGAATAAATTCTGTGCAATCTTTGAACTTTCAAAATTAATCAGTATTTGAGTTACTGGCATATGTGGGAAAAGCTATTGTGTAGGACAGGAAATGTATTTTTCCTCCTTCTATAACATACTTGCCTCAAATTTTCTAAAAAAGCCTTCAGCTCTGAGGAAAAAAAAAAAAAGAAAAAAAATTGAGCCTTATTCATAAAAATTTACTACATGCTTGACTCCAGTAGTGATTGCTGGACATCAGGAGAGGAAAGAAGTCTAGGTCTTTTCTGTTGGACCTTGATTCTCTGTCCTTATTAAGTTTCATCCTTTATTATCTTGCTACTCCACGCAGAATATAAATATTGTCTTACCAGAACTTACCACCACATGAGATCCTGTCTGTGTGCTTGCACAGATAAGTTCAGAAATGTGCTGAATTCATTAATACAGTTTATATGTCACTAAAGTTACTTACACCTGCAATAAAATAATGAATTCAAAGTTTATCGGAGGGTTATTTATCTCAGTGGAAGTTTATTGGGGGTTATTTAAGGTGCCAGCTCATTAGATACCTGCATAAAAGGCCTTATTTTATCTCCTTCATGCCTGATAGTGTCTGAGGAGCAGAACTCTCCTCCCACCCAGCTTTATTCTTTGTGCAGTCCAGCATCTGTGCAATGCTGGAGAGCGTAGGTGGAACGAAGGAAGACAGGCCAGGCCGTGCTAATATTTTGAGATTTCCTTACCTGTTCACTAAAAGAAGCCTTCATTAGCTTTTCATGAGTAGCTCGGTGGCGAAAGGGCACCCACGGTAATCCCAGGATGTTTGTTGGACCAGAGTTACAGCAGAGGTACAGAATTGTTTGATGGGGAATTCCAGAGTCTGCCAGACTTGAGAAGGTTATGCTTTTATTAAAGTTACTGCTTTTGTGCGATTGAGAAAAACTTCTGAAGTGGATTTTGGCTTTATCTAGTCAATTAGTGTGGAGATATAATTTCCATAGCAGATTTAGTTTTCAGTATTAAATTGCCTCAGAGATTTGTTGATTTAATAATATTTAATTTATTCTTTGCTTTGAAATAGAAGTGGTAAAAAATAAATTACATGTTATGGCAAATTTTCTATTACAATGTTTCAGTGAAATTGGTGTTGAGGATCATTTTAAATTCTGTGGATTATCTATTCAAGTAAAAGTACCTGTGAGTTGGAAGGCTTTTAGTCTGGATTCCTAAAGAAACAAGGTATATAAAATTGCATCAGCTGTCTGATCACCTTCACTTGAATCCATTATCCAATTATCCAGCTTCTTAAGGGAATAAAAGTGTCAGGGATGACTGTGTCTTTCCAACTTGGTGGAAATTGGTGATGAGTAGAGGAGAGAGACCTGCATTACTGCTTCAATAAGAGAAAGGCAGACAGGACTTGATCATGCAGGGAGTTAGCCTACTCATCGCACATAACTGAAATCATCCTTTCTTGTTGGTTGGAGATACCAGAGGGAATATGAGGAGAACTGGGGTTAATCAAGACACATGTAGGAGACAGTTGTGTTCTGTCTCTCCCTATGCCTATCTAGGAGTCCAGGCTTCAGCAGTACCACTACGTACTAAGTCACTCTTCGTTCTGCTTTTCAGTGTTTCTTCCATTTGTGTTGGGACTTGAGAAAGATGAGTTTCATCGTTACGTATAAAACATAGTGGTGATTTAAGCAGCACCTGACCTTGTGTGGGCACTTGCCAGGTGAGGCATTTCCCCACGGTGGAGAGGGAAGGTAGCAACGAGCTGGTGATGCCAGGGGTATGCTCCCGCGGGGTCTGCAGGCAAGAGGAAGTGTGCTTGGATTGCTCCTCTGCAATTCTGTTCCTGCTGCAGAAAACCAGATCAAATCAAATCACTCCCAGTTCTGTGGGGAGACGCTGTTCCTCTTCAGTCCTTTTTGCTGGATTCTGAAGTGACTTCAGCATTTCTCTCTCCAACAGCAGCTAAACACAAAAGCTGCTGAGCCAAAGTTGATGCGCTGATAGTATAGTTCACAAAACAATACAGAATTTTCTTATAATACTTTTTTCTCTCCTCTTCAAGAATTGAAGGAAGCTGTTGAAGAAATACTGCCGTTCTTTAAGAAAGAAAATGTTAAAGTTTATTACTTAAGCAAGACATCTGCTACGGAAGGAGCTGAGAGCTTTCTTGATAAAGTAGATGCTGCTTCAGATGAGCCCACTCCGTTGTCCTGGAGATCAGATATAACCTTTAAAACTCCTGCCATGTACATTTACACTTCTGGTACTACAGGTAATGTAAATTTACAAAAACTACATATGGAAGGCCACACATTGCTCCCAACATTGTGATTTTATAGTAAGGAAAGAGAATCTGTTACTTCACGTTAATTCCTACTCTCATTCATTCCCCCTCAGGAAACTGAAGATTTTCTACCTAAGTATAGGGTTTTTGTATCTAAAACCAAAAAGCCTGTAGAGTATAGGCTGACTTTAAGCACTAAATCTGAGGGGAGGGACTGAAGTAAAAGCCAGTTAAACATACAAGTTTTATGCCAGTAAGGTCACTAGACATCTGCTATCTCTTATGCCTGGAGACACTGCGGGCCTAGGTATGTGTCTTGGCACCCGCCTTATACTCAGTATCTTTGGATCATGAACTCTAAATGCTGGCCAGTAAGTTTTTGGGTGTCAGAATACCAAAATAGCGAGGGCAGCGCAAAATACAGCTAGTCATAGCCACTGTGCAAAACTGCAGCTGGTATAGGAGCTGCAACCTGTCCTACATAAAGGCATCTAGCGTTAAGAGCACTTAGCAACAGCAGAAACTGGGTGACAAGGATGAAGATGAAGACAACGCCTGAAGGCACTCAAACTTACAGCTTCATTAGGAAGAGCAGGGTATGCCTCCACACTAGCTCAGTCTTTGAGCCTCTTAGGCTAACTCTTAGGGCAGCCTCTTAGGGCAGGAACTCTCCTGGTAGGGAGGAAGTACAAATCTGAATCCTATTTGGGCTGCAGAAGATAAATAACTCGGGTGTCCTTCATCCTTCTTAAGGGCACTAACATCTCTGTTCTTGCAGAATAGGCAAGCACTACCATCATTTTGCCTTCTAGCATCTGTTCCAGCAAGTAATCAGTTCAACTGTATCTGATGGGAAACCAAGAAGAGATTTTGTAGTATGAATTCCAGTTTCATCTAGGGCGATTCAGAGATGCAAGGAGATACCTAATTCCAGGAGACATGCAAGATCTGAGATTAACCTCTGTTTTAGCATTTCCATTCCCTTTGCTCAGCATGCTAGATTCTCCAAATCCCACTTCCTCATTCTCTAGGTACTTGTTATTCCTGGGTACAATAGTATTGGGAATTTGGGCACTTAACGGGGGGGAATCACCTAAAAGTTACATGTGGGAAGATATATCCTCACTAAGACTAAACGCCAGTGTGTTGCGTAGACACAAGCTGCATACCTCCCTGAACTCTGGAACTATCGCTTGCTTCAGTGAACGAGAGAAAATCTTTTCTTAAGTCCTTGTGAAACCGACTGGTCTTACTATGTTTATTGTTCAAATGAAGTTACACACCTTTCTACGTGACTTTGAACAGGTCTTCCCAAAGCTGCAGTGATTAACCACGGACGCATAATGCTAGCTTGTGGTTTGTTTGATGCTGGCAATGTTACCTCGGAAGATATTGTGTATACTGCTCTACCACTCTATCATAGCTCTGCCCTCCTCGTTGGAGTCCATGGATGTATCATGAAAGGTACCGTGCACTTGACTAGGATGAATGAACACGTTACTGTGCAGAGTTCATGCACAGATACGATCACGAATACAGTAAGCCTTTCCCTAGCTACCAAACTTTGAGATTAAATACTTGGTTATACATGTCTCTGTTACCAGAAACTCCGTAAGTCGAGAGACGTTCTCGTTTCTCTGTTGTCTTTGTATGACTCGCACAGATTTTCACCCTATACAAATTTTATTTCATCACCTGGACAAACAGGATATATCCTATCTTACATGACAGCTCTTTGCACAGTTTCAGGGTAGATGAGTACAGAGTTTCATCCACAATAATAGCCTTTAACTTCTGATGAATAGAAATAGAAAGTAAACCAATTATTCAGCATGGATTGTATTTCAATACATTTTAGGAAGAATACTTCCAAAAGCTAGATAACCCTAATTCTACAAGTTTTCTACAATGTTGTGCTAAGAAATTCTGTACGGTCTTATGATATAATAAGAATTGTTCCTTCTGTTATTTGTTTTACTTCTTTCTACATAGGTGCAACTATTGTTTTGCGTGCCAGATTTTCAGCAAGCCAGTTCTGGGATGATTGCAGAAAATATAACGTAACAGTGATACAGTATATTGGGGAAGTGCTTCGGTATCTATGCAGTGTGCCACGGGTAACATTAACTGCCTTTCTTTTTTGGCTAACTAAATTACTGGGAATATTTGTTATATTATGCTTAAAGTCAAATCATAAGGGGAGAATAATAAGAATATTACCTATTTCTTCTTGCATTACCTGTAATCCCAGAAAACAGAAGGAACACCAAAAGGTTTGTGTTTAAATGGTGTCCCATCCCTCAGCCACCAAAAGGGGAGGGAAGAAGCCCTCTCGGTATGTAAATCAAGTAAAAAAATCTCAAGTACTTGGATTTTTGCAGCACTTAATTAATCATTCATATGGTAATAATGGTAAACTTGGGTCTTACTCCTTTCTGTCCTCTTTCTGCATGGATGAGCTTGTCAGCACAACAAGTACAAGCAGATTTACCATGATTTATTGTAAAGTAAATTAACCCACACAGTTAAATGCTGCTGCAGGCAGACTTCTGCCTCAGAGTACCGAGACCCGATTTTCCAAAGTCTTTCCAAAGACTTTCAAAAGGATGATGATTTTCAGAACGTCTGCCATCTGTAATTCTGATGCTATGCTCTCAAAGGAGTTTGGCGTCTAGCATGCTGAAGCCTTAAGAACATCTAATCACTTAGATGTCTAAAGGAGAATATGTTAGTATGTTTTCTAAAGCGGCTGAGAAGGAAGGGTTCGCTTATGCGGGGGGGGGGAAGAGATTAGCCTGAAGTTCAAGTTAGATATGAACTACAGTTACTTGCTGTCATTATTCCTTCAGGTTATGAAGGCAGAACAGGAATGGCATGTATTCGACTAAAGGAAAACTGTGAATTTAATGGAGAAAGTACTTACAGACACGTTAACACTCACCTTCCAAACTACGCAAGACCTCGCTTTATAAGGATTAAGGTAAAGCAGTGTTCCTAAGCAGCTTGTGTGTGTCTATCTGGACTGTGTTTTCTCTCTTTTCTGTGAGGACTATGAACTTTCTAGTTCTGCTAGCAATTTTCAAAAAGGCTTCTTTTGCCTCGCACTTGCTCTTGTCATTTACCAATACGAAAGTAGAACTGCACCCAGATGTTTCAGTTCAGCCTGAAAAAAAAACAAGTTGCATGAGCAGCTACAGGATGCCTGGCACATTTTAATGTATAAAATCAGGAAGATCTCTTAGTGGAAAATACATTTCCTGGTGGATTCCTTCAGCACAGTAACACAGCTGTGTTCTCAGTTTAGTGCAGCTCCGTCTACAGACCGTTCTGTGCAAAACAAAGACCCCCACACAAATAAAAGCTTGCAAGAGAGCTGTCTTTTGCAAGAGAGGCCTTCGATTTTTATGCTACCAGTGAATAAATAGCCAAATTCTAAACTGAAATTTGACTTGAATAAGGAAAATGTTGCAAGAATGTCACTCTCGCCCTACCTCTCAAGTTATTTATTTAAAATTGCTCCTTTGGGAAAGGTTGTGTATTCACTGAGATGATTCAAGAGGACTAACACAGAGATACTAGCATGCCTAATTATTGAATCGATCTTTAACTTTTGAGTTAGACTAACAAAACAGTTGACCAGTCAAGGTAGCGGTTGGTCTTGCCATCCCATGTAAAGTACAGTGAGTCTTGCCTAGTCTCCAACTGCCGTTTTCTTTGCTCTTCTTTTCTGAGAAAAATTCTGCTGGTTTTTGATCTGAGAACATAATTAAATAGATTTCGGGATAAACCCCTTGATTCTCTCTGACTAAAAGCTGAAAACGAGTCTTTTCCTGCCTCATTTAAATGGAATGGGAAGGTGAGCCTTTCAGCAACGTTTCTGTGGCCCCAGCACTTCTTACGTTCAGAGCAATTACTGGCCCACGTACTCCACAGTCCAGTTATTATCTGATGAACGCAGGTAGTTTAGACCTCTATTAGTAAGGCTCCGACTTCTGTGCGGTATGGGTTTTCTTTAAATACGATTCCCTTTGAATTTAGGAAATCTAGTCCGATTCCCACGGTTACATGCTGACATTGATAAGTAGAGATGTAATTTTGTTTTGTAGAGTGCCATTGAACTTACAGCAACTTTTAAGTACCGTAAAGTACAACTAGTGGAGGAGGGTTTCAATCCAGCAGTCATCAAAGATCGCCTATATTTCCTGGATGACAAAGAAAACCTGTATGTACAAATGACCCAGGACATTTATAACTCAGTAAAAAAACATGACTTCAAATTGTGAACGTGTCAAAAAATCTGTGTTGTATAATATTTAGTTTTTAAAGCATCTGTTATTCTAACCTTGCCAGGAAATCCTATTTATTAATATTAGCAAATATCAGTATCTGAAATAAATTGTGAATGTGAGATCGTTTTAATAAAGCAGAACTTCTCCAGCTTGACTTGCGTCTTAGCCTGGCTTCTCCTCTCCTTCACACTTTGAATCTTACCTACCTTCTCACCGTGCATGGATGTATTACTAATGCTGTGAATGTTCATATTGTGCACCTGAGCAGGTGAAAGTGGGTACAATATAAGACATCTCTATGCAAATACATTTCTGTTCACTTTAAAGGGTGATCCACTGTAAAAATCGCATCCCTAAGTCAAAACACAAAACTCATTAAAAAGACCATTAATGAAGCTTACGGTTGTTTCAAATTAACTGATCAAAAGAAGTCTGTGTTAGATGCTTACATTAACTTTTATCCATTGCAGCAGAGATGCCCCCTTATTTTTTATGCACCAAATAACACATACGCAGAATGAGAACAATTTATAAGAACTAAGACGTATCTTCCTTCGGGTGCAAATGGAGTAATGGCAGGCCAGATACTTCATAATAAAGCGTGGCTTAGACTTCCCTAGGATTTAAAAAAAGGCAAAAAATATTACAGAATGGGATAAAATGAATCTGTTCTTACTAGAAAGGGCTAGCAGGCCAAATTTTACTGCTCCTTGTAACACATGCCTCGATGTACCCCAGTGTGAGTTTCACTGACGTTGTATGAAGGTACGGAAATTGTTTTGATTAACCAGACTCATTGTTTATAGAACTCGAGAATAGCTGTTCTGGGTCAGACTGAAGATCCATCTGGCCGAGTACGCTGCCTTCAAGATGGGGCGAGTGTAATGTCTGGAAACAACTGTGAAGGCGGCAGCAAGCATCTCGCAGGGCTTTCCCAGAATAATCTCCTAGCAATCATCATGCTTCCTGACTCAACAGTAGTATCTCTGAATTTAAAGCTGCCCTCAATAGATTTTTCTCCCCCCGGTTTTATTAATTATTCTTTAAAATTATGTAAAATCATTGGCCTCTTGTAGCAGTAAGTTTGTTCGCTGCATAGAGACCCTTTCTTCTGTAATGCCCCTTAGTTCTTCTGATACGAGAGAGGGTGAAATACCATTCCTACGCTCTTTCCTCATGCACTTGTCTTTTACAGACCTTAGGTGATGCTGGGAGAGGCCACAGGTGCTTAGCAAGGGCAACTGCTCTTGCAGCATGGTTGCAATGAAGCCTCCCGTGCACTGTAACTCGTTAACGCAGATGGAGTGGCAGGGCTGCTGTGTGTTTAAACTCGGGGAGTTTTAAAATTGCCCTAATACAGCAAAACCTCTTAGAGGGGTGTCAGGGTTTAACCCCAGCCGGCAACTAAGCACCACAGAGCCGCTCCCTCACTCCCCACCACCCTGGTGGGATGGGGGAGAGAATCGAAAGAGTAAAAGTGAGAACCCGTGGGTTGAGATAAAGACAGTTTAATAGCGGTAAAGCAAAAGCCGCACACGCAAGCAAAGCAAAACAAGGGATTCCTTCACTCCTTCCCATGGGCAGGCAGGTGTTCAGCCATCCCCAGGGCTCCATCACGTGTAATGGTGACTTGGGAAGACAAACACCATCACTCCGAACGTCCCCCCCTTCTTCCTTCTCCTTCCCCCAGCTTTCTATGCTGAGCATGACGTCATATGGTGTGGGATATCCCTTGGGTCAGTTGGGGTCAGCTGTCCCATCCGTGTCCCCTCCCAGCTTCTCGTGCCCCCCCAGCCTGCTCGCTGGTGGGGTGGGGTGAGAGGCAGAAAAGGCCTTGACTGTGTGTCAGCACTGCTCAGCAATAACGGAAACATCCCTGGGTTATCAACACTGTTTTCAGCACAAATCCAAAACACAGCCCCGTACCAGCTACTGTGGAGAAAATTAACTCCATCCCAGCCAAAACCAGCACAAGAGGTTACATCCTTCTTTTTGCACAGTTCAGAACTGATGTTGGCATTGTCTGCACACACAGATCCTCACAGCAGCCTAAAGAGTTTAAGTCAAGGTATTAAAAAAATAAAAAAAATCAATGGTGCAAATAGAATGCTAAATTGTTTACCCCCTACTGAGGCCAGCATATTTTGTCAAACTGGTTCTAGCCTACCAGCTAGAAACTGTCCATTACCAGGAGTGATAAGGCAGAAATTGGCATTTTCTTTACCACAGTCTACAAACCAAAGAGTTTCATGTTCTATGCCTACGAGATTTATTTGACATTTTAATCTATAAATACACGAGGCTTCCACCAGTAAAAGCACAGGGATTTTCTCAGTGGTCATTGCCACCGCTCACATATTGAACAAAATAACACATCGTATTGCATATGAATAAGCACACTTTGGTTCTCTTTCTACCTGGAGCGGTCTTCAGCACCGACCTCTTTCACTTGTTAAACAATGGCTTGCAGAGGACAACAAGGCAGCTGAAGGCCACACTGAATGCTACACTCCGGAAAGCTTGGGACGCTGTAGAACTTAATTAGTTTTTTGAAGGCACTTTTTTTGAGCATCATCACCTCTTCAGGCAGCCTGGAAAGAATTCTGGCATTTGCGTGAGACTCCTTGTCAGCGGCTGCTGCTTTGGGGTTACACTGCTCAAGACCACCAGTCACTGGCACGCTGTTGCAGCTAAGGGAACGTGCTGTCTTCTTCTTGCCTTGAACAGATAAATAACTGAATAAAAAAGAGGTTAACTTCTGTTTGGTAACACCTTGGACATCTTCTGGAAAACAGTCATCTAGAGGATCCCCTTGACCTTTCATTTGTTGACTAATCACGCACGTACTGGGACTTGCTGCTAACTTCTTAGGCTGAACTACTATTTTTCTGGAAGGCGTTTTGTATTTTCCTCCATCTAGATAAAGCTGAGAAGCACTACTAATGGCATCAGAACTAGGCTTAACTATCGTATTCGGGATTCTTGCCCCATCACCAGAATTGATGCAGTGCAACCCATAATTCTCGCTAACGATTTGGGCTGCAGCGTGTTGAATGATGTTCCAGTCTTGCAGAATATCTTCCCTGGTTGTGAACTGAGATGTTACAGTAAAGCGAATGATGAACTTGTCGTGAATGGTTGCTGGAATAAGGAAGAGCCTGCCAGAACTGCTTAGTTCTTTCAGGAGTTTTTCTGTCAGCCAGTTGGGACCCTGTTTTAAATATGAATAAGAAAAAAAAACACAAAAAAACCCTATAGTTAGAATTTCCAGTGACATCCAAACATCTCCGTAAGAATTCCAGCGTTACAAATTCTTAGATGAAAGTTTATTTACAGTTCTTCATGTCTGGGGAGAGATCAGCTGTGGTCAATTCATTCCAAAGAGACATGCAAAAGGCCCAATCTTTACCTTTAAGCGAAATACAACCAGTCCAAGGTGTCTCTTGGCAGGAATTTCAAAGAGCGGATCACTTTTAACCAACGATTCAAAGAATTTGGCTGTTTCAGTACCCTGTAATTAAGGAAAAAAAAGTAGTTATGTATTGGTTTGTCACAAACCCACTGTAAGACACTAAATTAAGCAGTTAAAAAGAATTCCTTTCCTTACTAAAACACATCATTCCAGTGCATGAATGGCAGCAGACAGAAGAATCACAGCAAAGCTAAAAATTTTAAAGTCTGCCTCTATTTGCCCAAACCCTTGACAGTGAACAAGAGTAACTAGACTATATATAGGAATTTTCTAGAAGAAGGTTTGAAAACAGAATGTGCCTTCTCAGATTAGAGTCCTTTGCGGCAACCGTTGATCCACAATACGATCCCTTCTATTTGCACTTCATCGAGGACTTAAGCCTGCAAATTTTCATAGCGCTGGGTCCAGCCTTCCATCGCAGCCTGCCTCCCAAACAGCTGCCACTTTGCCCCAAAGAAAGCTTCTACAGATCAGTACTCCGCAATGTGCAGAAGGCATCGACTTACCGAGTCGCTTTCCATTGCCTTTTGCTTCCAAGAAGGGTACAGGAAATCTTTTGTCTACACAGTCGATCTTTACAGATCGCTTAAGAGTAAAATCAGCATGCCTTTAGCGTTCACATGCAAGCTTTGTGTGCGAGAGGATTTGTGTTACTCATCTTTGCATCACAGAATTTATTAAACTGGGTTACCAATAAATGAACATAATACATTCACGCTCGCGTTGTTAGTTCACGTACATGTCGGACATGAGCTTGAAGCTTTTTCACCCCAAATGAACGAATCACAAACCACAGCTTCAAAGACCGAAATCGACGACTCAGTGGAATTTGCCAGTGCTGTGAAAACACAACGGTGTATCAGCGGGTGCAAACACATCAGACAGGAGTGTCCCCTCACACTGCTACCTCTGTTGCTTCAGACTCAGGTCAGAAATCTCCGCTGACACAAATAAATTCCTATTACTGAAAATCTGCTAAGCCTAGGAAATAGCCATCAAAGAAACACTATGTCTACGTATTTTTCAATTATTTGCAAAAATAAGATTTTGGCTATTCTCCTTAATCTGTGGCCTAGGTATGCTTAGAATTTTTAGTTAATTACCAGCTAATAACAAAACCTTTTCGCATTTAAAGAGCATTATCAATTTAAGATGCGTCCGTTTACAGCTTAGGACTGAGTGCTCACTTCAGTTCCTACAATTTGCATATTTAAGTGCCATCCTGAACGTTTTCCCAGATCAACTATAAACAGCAGGAGTTGATGTAGGGGTAGACCCTTCCAGGGGAAGTGACACCTACTGCGCGGAAAAGAGTGACAAAACGTGTAAAGGAATACTTCTAGGGAGCGACACAGTTACATGCAGGGTCCTATTTAACCACAAGAGGGACTCATTGATATATTCCCCCCCCCCACCAGCCTCACGTTCTCTAGTGAAAAGCACTATTGATTTCAAGAAAACAATTATCTTTTCAGGACTAGGGTGAGATCATAGCAGAAACGATTGGCAGTGAATATTCTTTTG